TTGCTGTTTGTTTACAGTGGATTTTAGTTCTTTTACGTCTTCGCTGATTTTCTTGTTTTCCAATAGAATATTATTGACTGTGATTTGTATATCTACCAACATCTCTCTTAAGTCCGTTAGACTGGGTTCTTTGTGGTGGTTTTCAGTGGTTGGAGGTTCTGTTGCGAAGGTTTCGCCTTCGACAGCCACCATGTTGGTTCGCTTGGAATCTGACTGTCCTTCTTCAATGGAGCTGTGTTCACCACGTTTATGCTTTCGACCTCTTCCAGTCATATGATTGTATCGTGGGTCATTCCCTGCTCGTTAATACTAAAAAGATTGATTACGTTCACATTGAAGGGAAAAATATTGGGGACGTAGGCTGCTGCATTAAAACGCGTGCCTCACGCTACGTCCACGCATGCTCTCCGTTTGAAAAGAACATGTTTTCCACTCTCTCCCAGCTGATCATAAAATAAATGAAACACAGCTGCAAGACGCAGAACGTGTCTGTCGTCCTTGGAGACGTCAACGTTCTTGCTGTGGTTTTCCCACTGCTTGTTCAGCGTATCTGTTATGTTGTCAAAGGACGCTTCAAAAGCGGTGTTACCAGGGGCATCTAAAGTTAATGCCAAGAGATCATTCTCGTCATGACAAAAATTATAGATGCTTCTCATATATTAATCTAGGATTGAAAAATTTAATAAATCTTCCTAAATATTGTACACAATGAAAAGAGGGGTTTCCTTGCCGTTTTTAGTATCCTGGACAAAAAAATTTAGGATCATATCAAATGATTGTAACTTTTAAATGGTTTACCTAAATTCCATACAAAACAGCAACAAAATTGAAAAGTGAATGTCACATTTGGAAACTTAAGAGGCGGGAACATACGTACAGCCTATACGTTCTTGCCCCCCAAAAAATTGGTCTTGCTAATGCAATTTCTATATTTCTTATTTTCCTTAGACAGAGCCATTTTGCTTAAAGTGCTACGCTTAACTACAATATTCGCCAAATCGTCTCTTTTTAAAAGAGAATTTTAACAATCTTTTTAACCAAAAAAAACGTAAATTCAAAAGATTTGTTTTATGAAAAGAGGAGAAAGCACCGAAAAAGTATTCTCCTCAACTTAATCCTTGAACGCATCAAAGCAGGTTTAGCGCTAAGCAGTGCACTTGCAGAGGCTACATATTAATAAAAGGTTAAAAATACTGCACAAAAAGAAATAGAAAAATACTATTTAATAGCATGTAATGCATGAGTCCTTTGAAAACTGTGTTGTGGGTTACAAAAAATTACAAGAGCCACAGCAAAACTCATCTCAGGAGTGAAATTAATGGAACGACTCAAAGACTCAAAGCCAAATATTTTGCTCATCAAACATAAGTTTGTATAGAAATTTGTGCAAGGACCCTTCTTTGCAAGCTCTCTCGAAAAGAAGAAAAAAGATGTTAATTTCATGTTTCAAACAAATTATGGCATGAAAAAAACTGAAGGACTTTGTAGAAATTCACTAGAACGAATATGGCGGTGCCTGTTCTCACCCTTTCTAAATTCGTGGATACGCGAAGCGTAGAAACGTGTTTGTTGCGGGACTCCGATATGCAAATGCGTCACTCACTCACTCACTCAGGTGCAGACACTGTTCGTAATTAGTGGGCCCGAACAAGAGCGCCCGAGCCCGACGCCATGTTGAAATAGTAACCGAGCCCGATGCCGAAAAAAAATATTGGAATAGTAACCGTGCAGTCAGCGAGAGCCTCGCTATCGTGTTTGCGCGGTTACTACTCAAAGCGTGCATCATGCCAGCCCGGGCACCGCCAGCCCGAAATTAAGATTTTGTCACTTTTACACGACCATTAATGTTACGTGTTTCGCTAAATTGAGCTGGAGTTGACCTCGAATGTTCGAATTAGTACTATGGCTAACTTGAAGGCTGAATTTCATGAGCATCTGCCTCGTTCAGGCGTTAAAAATGACCAGGAGATGAGCATTTGTTTGCTGCAAAGTGACCTGTCTCATGTTACTGTGGTAAGCTTTGATGACAATTAATTAATGTGTCTTATTCGGAGACCTTAGTGAACTTGTATGAACGAAACGAACACTTTTCAATGAACGAAACCAGGACAAACGTCAGCACCATTATATAAAATTATAAATTTCATTGTTATAATTTAGTAACATCTAAACCTGAGGCCAGCCGAAATATTGTTTTAATATACGACCTTGTGTCAACCTTGCAGTAGTCTTTGACTTAAGCTTATTATCGTTTTACTTTTCAAGTTTGGCTGATTAGATCTCCTGTGAGATCCAACACTCAATCAAGCAGGACCATCGTTTAGAGCTTTGCAGTTTATAGCATTTAAGTTTTTCTTGTTGAGTAGTCCACGTTCAACCGACATCGAGTTAAGTTTAGATTAAAGTTGTGTTCGCTATAAGTTTACTTGTCTCAGTATACTGAGTGGGATGTGAAATGTACATAAACTTGGAAAAAAATTCCCAAATACTTGATTTTGATAAGCTTAAATGATTTTTACCCTGTCTTGTGTTTACACTTTTCCTTCCTGATTGAAAAGATAACAAAGGGAAAGGAACTCCCTGTGAGCTCGTAGGAGCACATATCTATGGGTGGGCAGATTTTTTGGGTCAACACTGAAAATACTTGCAAATGAGGCGAATTATTTTGATGTATTTTACGTGCAATATATGTTTAACATTGGAAAAGAAGTACTGTCTCATAAGAAACCTTACCTATAGCCTTGAGTGAAATGCAATGGAAAAGGTCTGTAAGCTCGTACGACTGGTTTACGGTCGTTTCGCCCGAAATTCCATTCACCTGAAACCCTTTCGCCCGAACTGGAAGACGATTCGCCCGAACAAAAAGTCGTTTCGCCCAGACTCAAAGTTGATTCGCCCGGTATATTCTATGAAGATATAAGTCATAATATGTAAGTCGATTTATAAAATATGAGTCGTGTAGCACGATCAAAACTATTCCCGATCGATATAATGACATGCATCACGTTGTCAGGAATGAATACTGAACATGCAAATTTCTTCTGAGCATGCAAGAAACCCAATTAAACCGGCCCAGTGCAATAGCCGAGGCAAAAAAAAAAAAAACACGTCAACATACTGTAATGCAACAATTTATTGAATATGATCAACAGACCTATTTGCGTGATACTACGATAAATACTTACTTCTAAGTCTATATAAACCTAACCTTACCTATTTACAATTGTATATTATAATTCCTAACCGAATCTCAACCTATTTAAAACTATAACGACGTGTACGGTATAAATATGTTGACTAATAGCGAACAATAAATTATTCCTAACCGAACCTTAACCTATTTGAAACTATAACGATGTTTACGGTATATGTATTGACTAATCGCGAACGATGAATTATTTCTAACCGAACCGTAACCTATTCAAATCGAACCATTTAAATCTATCGCGACACGAAGGTATAAATATATTGACTAATAGAACTTAAACTGAACGGACTGGTCCATTAAGATGGCTGCGTGCCTTTAGTAACTGTTGAGCGGTTTTTTCCCTGGAGGCGTAATCATCCCAGAGATCAAAAATCTTGGCCTGAAGGCAGCAATAGGTTTTTCTTTGTAGATGTTTTAACTTTCCATCAGAGACGAGTCTAACCTGAAGCGCAGAAAGCTTGGCCTCTCTGTGCAGGTGCTGGATGAGAAGGTAAAACGGAGTGTGTACTCTGCCCCCAGCTCGTCGGTTTAGGCCGTGGTGCCAGCCCTCCAGGTCGTTAGTGCGGATGGCCTGCCCGTACACACTCCAGTCCTTTGGCGGGAAGGTAGTGCTTTCAATCCACATCAATCCAGTGTAGGAGACCAGCCTCTTCATGCCATTGGTACTTGCCCTCAATCGCAACTTGGCAAACGCTGCTGGTATCTCGCCGGCCGGCAGGAACGGCATTGCCATCAGTTTTCGGATCAGTCGGTAGGTTCCATCATCCTGTTCATAAGCAGCTGCAAGTCCCAGCTCTTGAACCTAAAAAGAAGACAAATTCTTAAATTAACAGGTTTTCTTTGACTCAGGGGCTTTGTCAGTTGTCATCAGCCAAAATATGTTTTCGTGTCTAAAAAACCTAAAAAAACCATTCATTTTTTTTTAACAATTGCTAGATTAGAGCACTGAAACTGTCGACAGAGCGGATTACAACTTGAAAAGGCTCGGTGTTTTATACCTTTCTCCACACCGCCCGGGTCCAGTGGAAAACACATCCCATGATTATCGCCTCTGGTAGAACTGCCTTAACTGCCGACCACATCGCTCTTTCAAAGTCCAGCACTACTCTTTGGACTGATGGCTCATTAGGAAGCAGATTAACGCTGGCTCTGAGAACCTAGAAAATTAAAACAAACGTAAAAAGGGGTTTAGTCACCAAAACGAAATCACATTGGTCATAAATGAAACTGCCGTCAAATCAACTTTATATAAATTTTTCAGCACCTCAACTTTGACGGATCATTACTACGACTCTCTTTTAGCTAACGCAACAATTATGGTATAACCGGTATATTACCCGTTAAAACACCCTTAATGTAACTTTATGAAGCTTACCTTCTTATAATCACTTTTCTTCTTTCTGGACATGAGGACAGATGCCAGTGGTACTTGTTTTGCACACTCCTCTGCCCTCACGAACGCATTAATGGTGAGCAGCTGGGTGAAGGGCGTTCGGATGAGCTTAAACGTGCCATCGACGTACCAGGTTTTGGCTCTGGCAAGCTGCTCAAGCTGCTGGCTGGTGGCGAATACAATATGTCTTCTGTTTTTGACACGTAGGTCAGATTGGAGAAAATCCGATGGAATGTGGTCCTCCTCTATCTCGAAGTTTAGGTCTGTTGGATCGTCTGGGCGCAGACGCTGACGGAGTCAATTAGCCGCCCTCGCCAGGTGCAGGGGCTTGGACAAAACATGACATGGTGCTGGTGTAAGTTCTTCTAACAGAACCTATTTGAAGGAAGAAAAGCGCACACCATTTCCAAAACTATACTATCACTAAAATAACTAGTTTAGTTTAGTTTAGTTTATTTTCTTTGTCCCACAAATTTACATTTACAAGAAAAAAAAAGAAACAAAAAACCGTGTGACAGGAGGCAGAAACAGGGCAAAGCCCAATTGACATCGACCCCCTGAGACAAGTTTTTGGTGTGTCATTTTTATTTGGCTTTACATGAAGTGTGACCTAGTCCAATCAATGGGAGATGAATTGAATTCTCCTTTCATCCATAATCAATCGACGATAAACTCGCCAGATAGAGAGGGAAGGAGAGAGGAAAGGAGACCGTACAATATTCCCTTCACATAAGCTACGAGCCGAAAAAGCGAAAAAGAAAAAAAAAACGGAGTTCTCTCTTTAAGCAGCGCTGGATGTTCACATTACACGAAACCGTGGCATAACGCTGTATTCATCGATCAATTAACTGGTACCATAGTCACGTTAGAAAAATACCGGGCGAATCGTCTTCCAGTTCTGGCGAAAGGGTTTCGGGCGAACTGAATTTCAGGCGAAACGACCGGTTACCCTCGAATAAAGATTTCGAATTTTTGGTCGAGTTATCAAAACTCCTTGTCTATTTTATTTTCGTGGTGAAAAATTTCACTATGTTAAACACTCATGATGTTAATGGCCTTTTGGCGTTGGTGAAAATTGTTCCAGCATCTCGGCACAAAAGACAGCGAAAGAAATCTTTGTCAAGATTTGTTGACAATTGAAAACACCGACTCGGACTTAATTTTGAAAGTGCACGCGCTGCACTATGCAAATGGCTACTTGTACGTGTCAGACTTTCCTTTCAAAAACTTTTGCAAACTCGCCAAACAAACAGAAACAATAAGAAACTATCAAAACAGGGTTTGGCTATGATTAAGCATTGTTT